TGGCTTTGCTTTGAATATTTGAACTGTACCAGCCTCTACTTTCTGTTCCTAGATCACTTTTGTGATACATTTTTCTTGCTTGCCAGTGGAATACCACTAAGATTCCCTATTACCAGTATCTATCTCCTGACAGAGAGGAGACCCTACCTGCAGACCCTACCCTTCCCTACCTGCAGACTATTTCTTCTCAACTGCTACTGTCCTTTTGTCAGCACCTGCCAAAATAGTAGCTTTGGAGGCTGTAAATGTTCTGTTGTGGTCACAGTCACAGATAACCTGCTGTCAGTGTGTAAGTATGTATAGTCTAACGATTTCTCATTTACAGCTCTGTCGTCCCCCTTTGCAATCTTGACACTAAACTCTCCTCTCTCCTACATGGGTTGAATCAGCACCTGCAGGGGGATGAYCCTGGATAATACTCGTGCAGCCCACCTGCACATCTCTGCTGCCTCTGCCTGAACYAAGCATATTTCAGCCCTCAGCTTCAACTAACAGTTCTCATGATAAGCAAAGCAGTAAACAGGCATCATACACTCATTACATTTCTCTMATAAGTGTAAAAAATAATGGCATGCAAGCACCATGCCGCTGAGGTAAGCAGAGCTCATTAAATTGAGGCAGATACRGGGCATCTGGGGGGGAAGGTGTTGCTTTTATAGTACTATCACTAGTGTTAGAGCAGTTAATTTGTCCCTCTTTCAACTGCCATCTTCTTGCTACTAAAGCTGCTTTTGTTCTCTTTGTTGATAACACCCTATTTACATCCTTAATAGAATGACTTCCTGGAACATCTCCATCTTTTTCAGTTTGATTCTCTTTCCAGTTTTGAAACCATTTGGCAGTTAACTTTCCCCTTCCCATCCATTTAGCTGCCCTTCAGCTACTCCCTACTGAGCCATGGATATGTTGCTTTCAGAGATGCAGTCACTTCAAAATCTCTTTCCTCTTTGGCACTTGTGCTTTTCAGGAGACCTGACACTTCTGAGAGGGTTGTTAGAATTTTTAAAGTTCCTTATCTCGTACCAGCTCCAAGGGAGCAGTTTCACCTCTGCGTGAGTCTGTAATCAGAGCAGGCTGCTGTTCTCCATCGTCACCAGASAGCTGAATTGAACTCCATGTCCTTATTCTGTCTATTCAGCCAGTTGGATCTTGGCTTTGTAAAACATAGTTGAGCTGATCAAGAGAGGAAACWGAGAAATGACACTCACTGAACTCCAGGCTCTTGATTATGAGCTTGTGTATGCCAGGTGTGATCATTCATCTGCCACCAGTTCTTGGGTCCTGCAGCCTTCTTCAAAGTTTGAGAGTTTTTTAAAARTCAGATTATTGTTTCAGGCAATTGTAAGACAGTTTAAGTACTCGGGTTTTTTTCTCCAGGATATAAGTTGCTGCCAACCTCCTTGCTGTGGCAGTCTCCCCAGAGAAGTGTGAAAGCAGTGTGAGTTTCATCAGTGTGCTGACTCAGCAGTTCCTGTTTCCACAGCTGAGGCAAACCACAGCGGGTAGGGACAGCAAGGCAAGAGAGAATGTGTAATGCAGGACC